AACGAGGAGTTTGTGGTATCTGTGAGACTGTCGGCGCTGGGCGACGGCGAGGTGAGCACATGGAGGTGAGATACCTGGCTGCTGGCCTGGGGTGCGACTCCATAGCGGGCGTTGGCCGGCAGGGTCATGGCCCTCTGCTGAGCACCTGGCTGTTCTCCGTCGCTGCGCAGGCTCTCAACGGAGGTGAAAGAGGTGCCATGCTGGCTGGAGTTCGAGCCAATCGAACCGGCTCCCCTGCCGGCTCCCTCATAGAGGGACTCATTTTGGAAGGTGTTGCGCAAGAGCATCTCTGGAGTGCCACCTGTTCCCCCAGTCCCGCCTGCAAAGCTGATCTCCTCGTGCACATTGGTCATGTTACTGCGGGAGCCTTTTAGGATGCCTCGCTTTGGTGGTTTGGGAGGTATAGGCGGCAGAAAGCGATTCTGGAATGGAGAAGAAAATTGATTTAATCGAATATTGGACAAGGATAGGGCAAGAAACTCACCTTGAGCCCGCCGGCGAGCAGGGAATGTGTGACCTCACTGTAGTTGACACTCACGCCGGCGCCGTTGGACGCTCGGCTCTCGATGTGCGTCATCACAGATGCTACAATCTCCTCATTGCCACGATCCTGTTCGGGATCTGCAGATCCCGCTGCTCCCCCGTTGCTTCCGCCGTTTGCGTCCGCATTGAGGGCGGCAAAAAAGTCAGCACTGTAGTCCGCCGTGATTCCGCTGGGCAGTTTCTCTTTCTCCTTGCGCCGCCCCCGGATTTTGAGCGACCGGCGCACCTCGTCCAAGCGGAGCAGCTCGTCGGTGCTCATGCTCCCGGTGACGCCAGTGACGCCGCTAATTCCCGAGCCACCAGTGGTGCCCTTAGCCTCTTTGCGCAGCTTCTTTTCCCGCTTGCGGCGCTCCTTCTCCTCGTCGCCAGCGCTCTTTTTCATGAAGTTGAACATCTTGTGTGGTGTGTGGGGATCCTTAGGTGCTAACTGCAAAGTGGGGGTGTTAGTGGGTTAATGCAAAGTTCAAGGGCGTGACCAAAAGTCTGGACTAATTCGATTTGCACTGTTCTCTCTCTTTCCTGCTCTTTGTCCATGGGCGGATATAGGTAACATTTTTGGGGGTGATATTTTTGAGTTGAGGAAAACTGATTTTGTGTAGTTAGTACAACGGGTAAGATTTATCAAATTCCAAGATGTGGTTTTAAATGTAGGATTTAAAAAATCATTTTTAAACAAAAAAAAATACATTATGCGATTAGAGAATTAAACAATTCTACGATTTTGGCTTTTAAGGGCAAAAACAACAATTTATGTTGACACTAAAAAATTGTTTTGAGAGGGAACCCGTGATATCCCCCCAGATCCGCCCCTGACCTGCTGTCCTGCTCTCTATCTATGGCCATCCTGCTCCCACACACGCACAGCCCTGCCGAGCAATGCACCCGCCCGCACAACAACAGTTATCTTGCAGCTATGGATGTGTAAATGTGCACATTTGCAAATCACATAAACAATGGCATATTTCATCACTTTTGCAGCCACATTTCTTGTGCTGCGGTGGCGGCTTTGCTTTTGTCATTGAGTCGTTGCCATTTGCCCTGTTTCTGTTATTATTTATTATTCAATTATGCGCTTTCTTTTCTACAGCCAGCACACATTTGTTTTGTTTTCACACGCACACACACACACATAAGAAAGGGGGCTCGTGACTGCGTTGGTATTGATTGCCCCAGACTGCACTCTCTCGCACATCTCTTCCAATTTTCCATTTTCATTTCTTCTCCTAATTGAATGCACTCGATTCTGCCTCATTACTTATGCCATTCCAACTGCTCTTATTTGGCAAATGCTCAGCCACAGCCCACAGTGATACACACGAAAGGCAGAAAAAGAAAGTTACGAGTCAATAACACCTTTGTTTTTGCACTTTTCTACGCCTTTTTTGATAACACACACACTGGCAGGCTCAACATCTACACAAACACACAGGCTGTGTTCGCAATTTGTTTTTTTGGGAGTGGCAGGCGATATTCTTTTTACCGATCGGATTACATGTTCTTTACCTCGTTAATTGCCACTGGGGCACTTTTCTCGCTGTTTTTTTCCTGCTTTTTCGGCTCAAAGACTTCGCGTTCTGCATAAACAAATCTGAGCAGAGTGCCCACTGGTCTTGCCAGTCAGAATACCAAAACGCGACGTCAAATGTTACTGAAGAGGCAAACATTTGCCATCGACCAAGAACTGGTCACACCTTACTACTTGCTTAGCAAATACTCAAACCATCGAATGCAATTTTTAGGGTTGCCGAGGCCACAAAATTTAATGGTTTATAACGGTCACAGATTAATTAGGATTGTATGTTGCCAAAACGGTTTTTGATATAAAATAATATAGAATATTTGGAGGATTTGTCTACTTAACCTTCTATTCAATAATTTACGTAAAATATCTAAAAATAATGGTGTAAATTTTATGTTTGTTGCGTAAAAGAACATTATGAAGAATGATATTTCATGTAACAAGAGGACATAGTATAAATTTCCCATCATTTCACAACACATTTATTTTAAATAAAAGGCCTCTAATTATTAAATCGTTTTCTTACCTTATTCTTGGATATAAATTTAGGACAGCAACACATTTTTTATAATAAAAAGCATTTAATTGTTAAAGCCTTTTTACATCATATTTTTGTGTATTCATTTAAGACAGCTCTCACAAAATATTAGACTTTGTTCATAACATCTATAAATATTTAACATTTCTCCGGCGTGTTGGGGCCCTTTTGAAATATAAAAAACATATTTATTTTTAATTAGGCTAAAATTATAGATAATATGACAATCAATGAAAAAAACTCTGCAAATAATCTTTGCGTAAGTGCATGCAAAACCTTTTCTATATTTAGGAGATGTAGGGTGCGGCTGATCATAAAATACGAAACGAAAAACATTCGTTTTTATTTATTTTCTTTTTAATATTATTCAAATATTGTAGGAGAACACGCAACATAAAAAGACATAAGCCATTCCAGCACAATTAAATTTCTTTTTAATATTTACACACTTCAACGATATATTTGAGCCTTTTACAGCCCTAAAGAGAGCGCCCGTCTGGCAGCACTGCATCGTGACTTTCAGCAAAACTATCGCCAAGCCTTGTGGCAACGCAACTCAAACAAGCTATCGAGCCAGTTATCGAAAAAAAAGTGAAGCGTAAAAACTAAACGGTACATGGAAAATTTATTTTACCTGTGTGCGTGATTGTGTTTATGAAAAATTGGTTTTTAGCAATTGCAATTGCTGCAGCGTCGCGTTGGAAGGCCGAAAACAGCTAGTGAAAACGCCCGGGTGGCGTTTAGAGACTGAACCTGCGTGTGTTTTCCAGTGCGCGAGTGTGTGTGTTCCGTTCCGTCCTCTGGTGTCTGGCACCTTAACACAACAACAACAGCAGCAGCAGCAACAACAACAACAGCGAGCAGTCGAAGCAACAACAACACACGCACAATAATAAGGCCCGTGACGTTGTCGTTGCCGTCACCATCAAAACCAAAAGACCAAAACGAGCAGAAAAACAAATAGCAGTAGTAGCGAAAGCAATAGTCGCGTTCTTTTCCAAAACTAGGTGGGTTTTTTTTTAGTTTTTCCACTTCCATTTCCACGAAGTGATTTGACATGTTGCGCTGCTAGGTCGCCGCTGCCCACATACACACACTCAATAACTCACTCACACCCACACGGCCAGACACTCGCAGACACATACACACACACACACACACCTTTGTGGCAGACACGCGTACTGTCTGTCTCCCTCCCCCTCGCACCCACAGTCTGGCCTCGCACTTTGCAATGCAGCCATGTCTGTGTGACTGCCTAAGTGTGCGTGTGCGAGCGCGCCTGCCTCTGTGTATTTTGTCGATTTTTATTTTATGTACATTTGTTTACAGTTTTAGATAGATAGCGAAATTTGTACAGCCGGCGGCCATCCGTCGTTGACATTTTCGCAAATTGTAAATGAATATGCTTTTGCAGCTGTGCAAGTGTGAGTGCGAGTGCTGCCTGTGTGTCGTCTATACACATACATATGTACATAAGTTCATGAACAGTCGCCGCCGTCGACTTGTTTTGATTTAATTTCGCGCTAAATGCAATCGCGAACAATTTTCGCTCGTATCGCTCGCGCTGCGTAACATGGCGGGGAATTTCGTTTGAAGCCGAAAGTGCCAGCAACAACAAGGCGACGATGGCGCCTACATCTGCATGTGGGCCAGTGACTAAGAATCCAATTCCCCATCCAATCGGATTCAATCCAATCCAATACAATCCCTTTCAGCCAGCGGAAATGCCGTGAATGTTTTGCAGCGGCTGCTGACGCAAGCGCCAACTGCATTTGTCATAAACATGCAAAATGACAATAACAATTGTTTACTACCAGCGTGAGATAAGCGATTTTGTGAGAATGGTTATGTTTGACTCCTCTAATTGTTGATTTCATTCTTTAAGGGTACCCCTAGCTTAGCAAAAATGTGTAGGATGAACTTTGACCTCTTCTTGTTCCTGATTTTCCTACCTAAAGGGCATTAATTATTTTATCATTACGGTTTTAAACCTTCCTTTAAGAACAGCCTAATTACACAATTTGAGGTTTACCCTTGTATAAACTTAATACCCTTTAAATTCTTAACTTCCCACTTAATTGTTAAATTATTTCAATTATTCCTTCCAATAATTGATTGTTTCTTTTTTACGCCTACTATTCGCCTATCTGAAGAGATTTTTGAACAGTCTCAACCTGTATTTAATTGACTTGACCTTCTCTATTGGCTTTAGGGACACCCTATTCGCTTGTGTGTTTTTTAAGAGTATACCTAAATAAGTACCTTATTCTTCTATAGGCACGTCATTCGCTTGTGTGGTCTTTTTTTAACATTGTACCTTAATATACTCAACCGCCTGCTAATTATTGATTATTTCTCTTACAGGCATCACATTCGCTTGTCCCTAGAGTTTTCGGAACAGCCTCAACACGAATTACTTACCGTTTGCCTTGCAGCGGCGATCGACTGTGGTTGCCAGCACCCCAGCGCCAGGATCCGCCCCTAGGATCCCGGATTCGCCCAGCACCAACAGCAACAGCAGCAGCAACATCAACATCACCAATAGCCAATACAGCAACAACAGCCCCATCAGTCTCAGCTGGAGGCAGCCATCCTGGCTAGACAGAAGCCCCTTGGCCACCACAGACGCAACCGGAACCATGTCGATGAACACCAACTTCGACTCGGCCAGCTTGCCCAGCATGAGCATGGACCACTCGCTGACGGAGTTGGTCAAGGAAGGCTGGCTGATGAAGCGGGGCGAGCACATCAAGACCTGGCGCCAGCGCTACTTTGTTCTCCACTCCGACGGACGTTTGATGGGCTATCGCAGCAAGCCTGCAGACAGCGCCAGCACTGCCTCGGATTCGCTGCTCAACAACTTCACGGTGCGCGGCTGCCAGATCATGACCGTGGATCGGCCCAAGCCCTTCACCTTTATAATCCGCGGCCTGCAGTGGACCACGGTCATCGAGCGCACCTTCGCCGTGGATACAGAACTGGACCGTCAGCAATGGACAGAGGCCATCCGCAACGTGTCCAGTCGTCTAATTGATGTGGGCGAGGTGGCCATGTCGCCGTCGGTCCAGACAGACATGAGCGACGTAGACATGGGGGTAGAGCTCTCCGAGCAATTCTCCGTAAAGGGCACCACCTGCAACAGCAGCGGCGTTAAGAAAGTGGTAAGTATTCGATTAGTCAGTCACTGGCTAGTGTCATGAACGAACTAACACCTTATCTCGTTGCAGACTTTAGAGAATTTTGAGTTCCTCAAGGTGCTCGGCAAGGGCACCTTCGGTAAGGTTATTCTGTGCCGCGAGAAGGCCACCGCCAGGCTGTACGCGATCAAAATTCTCAAAAAGGAAGTAATCATCCAGAAAGACGAGGTGGCACATACTCTGACCGAGAGTCGTGTGCTCAAGTCCACCAATCATCCGTTCCTCATTGTGAGTACTCAACATATTTTCTACATTACCTTAAAACTTTTAAGAGAGGTGCAAAATAAAATTTAAGTATTATTGAAAACTTTAATGTTTAAATGGCGTTTAGTTAAACCGTTTTGTTTCCTTATATTTAATGTAAAAAAGTACCTAAAAATGCAATCCTGATTCTCATTTTTCTTCATTCTCCTGCAGTCACTTAAATATTCGTTTCAAACCAACGACCGCTTGTGTTTCGTGATGCAGTATGTGAACGGGGGCGAGCTTTTTTGGCATTTGAGCCACGAACGCATCTTCACTGAGGACCGCACCCGCTTCTATGGCGCAGAGATCATTTCTGCTTTGGGCTATCTGCATTCACAGGGCATCATCTACCGCGACTTGAAGCTGGAGAATCTTTTGCTGGACAAAGATGGCCACATCAAAGTCGCTGACTTCGGTCTGTGCAAGGAGGATATAACCTATGGCCGCACAACGAAAACCTTCTGCGGCACACCGGAATACCTAGCTCCGGAAGTATTAGACGACAATGACTATGGCCAGGCGGTGGACTGGTGGGGTACCGGCGTGGTTATGTACGAGATGGTAAATCTTTTGCAGGACATCTAAAGATGGAATTAATAATAAACAAAATTGTTTGACAGATCTGTGGTCGTCTTCCGTTTTACAATCGTGATCATGATGTGCTGTTTACATTAATTTTGGTAGAGGAAGTCAAGTTCCCACCCAATATCACAGATGAGGCGAAAAATCTGCTAGCAGGTCTACTGGCCAAGGATCCCAAGAAGCGTTTGGGCGGTGGCAAGGATGATGTCAATGAGATAAAAGCACATCCCTTTTTTGCGAGTATTAACTGGACAGATCTGGTGCTGAAAAAGGTATGCCAGAGAATAACTTATCGAATGCCTAGTTTTTAAAATGTTTATCCATAGATACCGCCGCCTTTCAAGCCTCAGGTCACATCCGATACGGATACAAGGTACTTCGACAAGGAGTTTACGGGAGAGAGTGTGGAGCTAACGCCGCCGGATCCCACCGGACCTTTAGGCTCCATAGCCGAAGAGCCGCTATTCCCGCAGGTAAGGGTTTATTGGGATTATTCCAAGTGGATCACCTTTTGCTCATCCGATTTTTTGGTTTCGCCGCTACAGTTCAGCTACCAAGGGGACATGGCCTCCACGTTGGGCACCTCGTCGCACATTAGTACTTCCACAAGTCTCGCATCGATGCAATAGAACAAGTTTACAAACTTTTACAAGCACACATCATGTTCTGCTTCATCACCTATTACTATACTATACCTATAACATATAGAAATGGGCAAAAGAAAACAAAAAGCAAGAATATATTAAATAATAATTATACCATGATAACGAAGGCAAGCAAAGGGTTTTCTTGCTAGTTTATATACACCAATAATAAGAGAATTCAATTGATAGTAACTTATTTTTTTATAACAAGAAAGAGGGAAGCCTAAGCCGAGGAAAATAATTTACTACATATGATTATACACATATATATATACATATATATATATACATAATTATATATACATTAAATATAACACTTGGGGCATTGCGCTTACAGTGGTTAGTTAATTTTAAATACAAGCAAAACATTTAATTAAGCGGCTCAGAGACGGTTCGTTTTAGTAGTAGGATAATGGCATGCATCCTAGGAACTTGTAAGCAAACGCATCATCTAAGGGCCGCTTAAGCTGATTATACAGACTATTCACGCAGACAGCACTCACACACAGACACTTAGCATATAGCAACATGAAGTTAAGTTAACTGAACAGCAACAAATCGAAATACACTTACTAAGCCCCTCCCCCACATGCAACACTCGTATACATTACATTACATTATTTATACTCCAAAGAAGCAAAAGGAAACAGAAAAATTACGAGTTATATGTTAAAAATGCCTCTAATGTGCTGTGCTTTATGCAAAACTACAACAGAAACAAACTAATAGTTAATAAAAGACGGAACCTTACATCAATGCAGTTTATAGGCGCCAATAATTAGCAAACAACTAAAAGTTATATTCAGGCCGAAACCTATTTCAAAAACAATAACAACAAAATTATTAAAATTGCCGCCATTTTTTATTATAATTTTTTACGACAAAATATATTTGTACATATTTATAAAAAAAGCAAAAATCCTTTTAAATGAGAAAAAATTTAAAAAAAAAAACAAAAATTAAAAGTGTCTGGTGGAAAATGGATGCTTCCGTTTTGGGGCGCCAGAAAAGGTTTAACCTTTGACACAAGAAAAAAAATTTAACTTTGTCATTTAATTTTTGGCATTGAAAAATTCATAACAAATTTTGTATACTTAGAGCAAGTCAGGCAAAAATTTATATAAATCAACCACAACAGACTTACAAATAGTTCCACACGGAAAATTAAAACAAAATTATATAAACGGAAAAACTTAAAAAGAAAAAAAGAATTTTTGATATTTTTATATGCGCAATAAAAATAAAAATCATAAAAAGTACGAAAACCAAACAAAAAAGTTATTTTATATTTCAAAATGAAAAGTAAAATAAATTCTGTAAATAAAATTAATTAAATAAAATCACGTTCGGGAATTTCAACTTAAAAAGCGAAGAAGTGAAAGCATAATCTCTCTTCTAAATGTTAAACAAAACCTATCAATCGATGAACACAATAAACAGCAAATTGAAAACGAAGCGATATGAAACGATAAAAATGCCAAAGAAGCGGCAGAGTTAGGTGGAACTCGAGGAGAACCGTCAGTAAACAGCCAGTCGGGCTAGTTCGGTTAGAGTCTTTGACTTGTGATGGTTCCAAATCATGACTAGGAACGAACTAACTAGCTTAAGCAGCTCAAGCCAACGAGATATATCAGATAGCTCCGATTTAACCAATCAATATATCTTTGAACAGTTTGGAGGTCCTTGCTTTCTGCTCCCCAAGCTTGCGGCTGACATCTAGGCTAGCCAATATCAATCTCAGATCGATCAAGCAATACATAGACAAAATATAGAACCCCTTAAGCATGGCTTACTAGACATACAACCCGAGAACGACTTCAACCGACGAAACCCAAGAAACCTTTTGATAGACTCGTTAAAAAAAAAGTCAGCCCGAATAAGCGGAACCAGCTAGAGATCTATAGCAAAGACTTAGAAATCTGTTAGGGACTTCTGAAACAAATTGAATACTAGCCTTAATGAACGTAAACATCTCTAGTATCCCAAGTCGAAGCATTTTCCCCCCGCCGAAGGGGCAGGAAGAAATCTATAAAAATAGTTGTCTAAGTTTACTGATTTTTGTAAGACAATTTTGATTTCAGTTTATTAACAAACACACTCACACGAACTGCAAACTACAATGTGTTCTAAAGCAAAATAATTAAACAAAATGGTTTAAAAAATGACTATATGACAGAAACCGAGAGAGATATATCCAGTCAGATCGTAGATCAAGTCGAGCAACTTGAGTTGTTTTTTGTAATGTAGAAAGAAAAACACAGCCCCCGTTCCCACAACCTAGATCCAGGTCCATGCCCCAATAATAACCGAATATTTGAATAGCTGTAATTTTTGATAGGCGAAACTGCGGATTTCGCACAGTTTTAATTATTAATAATACTAAATAATGATAATAATGACTAAGCTGATTTATAAATCGATTCAAGATCGAGCTAAAAACGAAATATACAGCACTATGTATATTCAAAAAGGACTAACATCAACTGAGCAGCAACCATGTAGATAATGTACTATCTGCATAAGTACTATAATGATTACGATTAATTTATACGCGCTTACGCATACCAACATGCATACATTATGAGAAATATATATATATATATATATACAGGATATATATACGATATAAGGTGTGTATGTATCTTATACATGCATTCAAACCAAGTTTATTATACTGTGAAAACATAATAATAAAAGTACAGAAAATTAATTTTGTTTAATGAAATGTTATTGGGATTGAAAATTATTTGCTTATACTACAGATAAGTAATATAGTATAGGAATATGGGGTTATAATTATGCCTTATTTACAAATAGATTTTTTTTTAAAATGGTTTCCTGGTATCTTAACTAACTTAAAGCTAACAAGCGTATAAGCGAACAATAGATAATGTCTAGAAAAATTGTTTGGCTTCTTTTCAGATTACATAACTCGTGCGGAAAATTCTCAGCAACAAGAATTCTTTTCACCTCATCCTCTGGGAAAACTGGGTCAAGAAAACTCCGCGAAACTGGGGGAACATCTGAGGTGGATGTGGAAATGGAGGAAGCATAAAAAACACACTGGTCAAGCGCCAATGACCGACTTTAATATTCGGGAGCAGCAGCTGGAGTCCGAGGAGTGGGCAGTTCTGGGCGGGAGCGGTGCGTGACAGGCTCGGGGTCCGACTCCCATCGCCCCACGGCCGCCCAAGTTCCCCGATCCCACCGCCAGTACTGGGGAACGCGAACAATGCGTTTTGTCCGATGATTAATTGCAACGCAATCTTGGGGGCCACAGAGTCACGGACGCAGTGGAGGCAGCTTTCCCCCAACCTCGAGTACATATGGCATGGATATATGTGTTCGCGATATATAGACAGAATGTGTGTCGCTCCAGCCGGCGGATATAAGCGCGTATTTACCGCGACACAAAGCTATTAATTTTTAGCAACTGCGCCCAACCAAAATAGCCGAGACAAAGCGAAGAAATAAAATTTCGAACGCAACAAAAGCGAAAGTGAATCAAAGTGAATCATATTGAACTTGAGATGGGCTTTATGGGCTTGGGTTGGGTTCGTGTCGAGGTTGTTTCGGGGTTGGGTTTGGTTGCATCCTTAGGCCAATACTGCATTGGCTTGTGACAGTGCCGATGGCAAGCCCTAAGTGCTTAGGAAAAGTGCGATTTGTACTTTCCCTTTTCGGAGCTGCCCAAGCCAAGTTGAGCTAAACTGAGCCGAGATAGAGAGCTTATGACGGATAAGACGACAAATGAAATGGCAAACACCGAAACCAAATGAAAGCCAGTTACTGGAAATGGTTGCAGCGAATTTTAGATGCTCTTGGGAAGATATCTAACCTGAAATTGGTTTGTATTCCCGCAGAAATAAAGAATAATACGGAGTACACATTTAAACTTAAATAAAAGTATTATTATTTTCGTACGCTAAACATTTTTTTGAAACAACGAATTTGGTTTCTTGTTTTTATTTCTCCCAATTATGATAATTATTTCACTTCTTAAAAAAGTAGATAATAGGATAAATTTTGGACCCAAAAACCCTTTTTTCCTTAAAACCTAATTTAACTAAAATGAATCGTAAAGTTCCCAATCGATACTAATGAAAAACGCTAATTAAAGACAAGTGCAATTGGGAAATCGGGTATGTTTTCGAAAATGTGTACTGAAACCATCACTGTTTTCCTATCAACTTAATACCCTCATCCCTCCAAAGAGTGTGGACAAGAGGGAAGCGGCTCGTTTGCTTTGTTCGCTACGCGCGTTTTTCGCGCTTTTCATTTGCCAAGCGATTTTTCTATTTTCACCTCCAGCTCTTGGGGCTCTCTTTGCTTTATAGTAATGTGAAAATTTCTGAAACTAGAAAAATAACAAACAACTATTTGTTGTTGCTGTTGGGCAGCAGCGTCAGCATCGGCTGGCATCGTGAGTATGTGCTGGCACTTAGCAGCTCCAGCACAGAGTCTAGGAAAAGCGGAGAAGAAAAGTGAAATACATCAAGGCACGTCACATCCATCAGACATTTATGAGCAGCACAGAGCACGCCCCACTCCAGAGCGGATCAGGTCTTGGACCAAGACCAAGACCAAGACCAAGACCAGGTCCACCGAAAACAGGCTTCCAGCCATGACCAAGCAGGCCCAAAAGCCCAGCCAAAGCGTGGCTAATGAATTGGGATTGTTCAAAGATCAGGGGGAGGAACTGGAGAGGAGGCCCTGGTCTAAGTGTCGTCTAGCTGCAATCGAAATTAATGAAAAACTTTCGTTTATTTAATTGCACAGCCGCCCAGACCAGGCAGAAGATGGCTTAGAAGTGGGGGGCCGGTTTATGGGTTATGGCCATATCAAATCCATAGGGCAAGACCAGCCGGCTGGATCCAACTCAATCCAGCCTCGACTTCGCCATCGACATCTGAGTGAAAATGATTGATTGATTGATCGGCGTTTGTCTGTTTGTTGTTAATATTATTTGCCGCTTATATATAGCAATCGGCGCTGTCAGTATTTGGCTGTTGTTACTCCTTTTTGGTGTAGCCGAAGATTTGTTTGACTTTTTAGCGGGCAATTATTTATTTGTTTCGCGCATTATTCGTCGATTTCGCTGCAATTTTCGTTTGTTCGCTTTTAAGGGGATCGCTTAAACATACATCGGTCCATCTAGCAAACGGACAATCTTTGATTGGGGCTGATTGAGAGGAGGCTCTTCGGTAGCCCGGCGTCCGACCAATCGAATGGCGATTTGATGGCTCTCCAATCCGTCGGCTAATTGCTGCCGGAGTGGGGGAAAGTGTGGCGACAAGTGATCCACTTTTTTCAAAATGAGTTATGTGTGATCTCCTAATGATCAACTAATGGCCTAACGATGATCTACTTTGCTCTTCGTCTGTAGATTATCACTTAGATAAAACGCGACTTACCAGGAATTACAAGTTAGGTGTATAAAAAGCTCATTAGTAGACTTACATTTTGTAATTACAAAGGTATTTATTACGAAGTGTACATATTTGATGTTACTGGATTAAGATAATAGGAGTAGTCCATTTCTACATAGTTTTAATAAATTCTAACCATAACAGAAAAGATACAAAATATCATATTCGTATCAAAGTCATATCATATCCTGTTCAAAGTCTTTACTATAATACCATTTTCCAGCAGTTCATTGAGAGCTTGATATCCACCTACATATACCATAAGTGGTGCAACTATCTTGGCAATTGCTACCAGTACAAACAACATGACACAGTCAAGATTCCGATTCGGTAGCGAACATTTGTTTATCTACAAACAAGCAGTCCTCCACTCACTGACCAACTTGATGCCCTCACTCCAGATCGCGGGAACCTTTTCAACTTTGACCGCATTGCGAATATTTTGGCCATGTTCAACAGCATTTTGGATTGGCTTCGGTGCACATGTCAAGCGTTCCAGTTGGCCCCCGTTCATCTCCCCGCTCCGTCTCCCTCTTGTTGAACATAATAAAAACGGGTCAACATGGCACACATCTCTACTCCCATTCCGAAGGCAAGTCTTTGGCTCCCACTCTGGCACCGTGGTCAAGTTGTGGTCAGCAGATGCCGGGCAGTGCGGCTCGGGGAGTACAGAACACAGCATAGACGCCAAATATAGACGTTGGACAATTTCCGAGCATGCCTTGGAACGCCTTTATTATATGACTCCGGACTCATAGTCGCAGTCCATGGAGTATGACAAACAAGAGAGCCATGTACGAGTTGTTATAAGCGATAACCTAGAAAGAGAAATGGGAAATGGGAAAAAATACCCGCAACATATTCTTTTTTATCTCTTGCAGGAGGGGAACTGCGAATGGGAATCGGAATGGTATGGGATGGTCTCAGATGGGCCAGAATGGGCTGGCAAGACAGAAGAAAGCTGGCCGAACACACCTCGAAAATGTCGGAAAGTGTGCGCCGATAAGCCAGCGACACGACAAAGATTCTAATTGCAACCTGGACAAAGGATGGGAGGCCGGGGAGCACAAGGAGAAAATTGTCTCAAGAATTGATTATCAATTCGATTGCTTTTATACCCTTGAAAAGGGTATAACATACAGCAGTACCCGGTTTTTTTTTAAACTTAAAAATATTTTAAATTAACCACAGGGATATGTCACTTTGGATAATGATGATATACAAATAATATGTTATTAGCAGATAAAATTATACAATAAAAGGTAATGGTTGATCAAGAAGAAGCTTCTGTTAAATGAGTATAGTAAATCTATAGGACTATAGTTCTTCAGAGTTTTGGGTCTGTTATTTTTAGATAGGAGAATTCATTAAATATTGTATCTTTAATATTAAACGAACCAATCAAATGATCAAAAAATGTCAGGGCTTGTTAATATAATGCCATATTGTCCTAATATAAATATGAAATTTATTACTTTGTTTATAAGGTAAGTATTTTCTTAAGTATAATAAAGTATTTAAGATATAGAGAGCTTTTATGTTTTGCACTATGCAGGACTCCAATGTGGAGCACGAGGCAAAGGTTGACCCGGACTGGAAGGAATATGCCCCATACTATGTATACACTGTGTGCGGTAGCTCCTCAAGATGATGAGCTGACTGATGTTGATGCGATGAAGACGTGGATGTGAATGTGGACACTGCTCGGCAGACGGCCCACTCTGCCGTTAGTCGGGGAATCAATTTCGCAACCCAAGCTGTGGCTCCTTCCAGGAAGGTGTGGCACCCAACTCCGACTCCAATTCCTCTCTCTCCAAACGTGTGTGCTCGGTGGACCCGGTACAAGTACACCACCTTTGACTGGGGAACGGCCAAGACGAAGACGTCGGCGGCGCCTTGCATGTCCGCCTGGCCACTCGCAGTCCACTTGCAGCTGCCATTATGCAATGTCACGATTCGCGAGCGCGCATAATGAACTTTTGATGTTGTTGCTAGCCAGAGCCAGTGCCAAAACCACCAGCACATGGATACCAGCACACACACGTCGAATGGCCGGTCTCTGGTGCATCTGCATCTATATATCTATAAACCCAGCAGCAACCACAAAGTAAACTCCACCAAGTAGCAGCTGACCATCGCCAGAGATGAGTAAGTGATATAGGCTAATTCCTGCTGGGAGAGTGATGTACTTGAGTGCAACATTAGAACCTAATCCGCAGCGAAGGACTTTTGATTAAGTGAGTTTTAATAATTTATTAGCTTATACAATGTATGGCCAATT